TACGACAGGACTGTGCACCTAACTTGGATCTAAGATGAGTGTGTGGTGCGAGAGGTGAACATCACGTGAAAGACTGTGCCTTACTCTAGGAGGGAGCACTAACACCAGGGGTGCATGTTATGAGCTCTCTAGGCATCACACATCACTACTAATCACAAACATAAACCATAACTTACCTGGCACTTACCTGTGTATCCGCAGCACTAAACATACATATATTCAACTACTGATGCATAAATAAATAGGCAAACGCAACGCATGGCATTTAAAACATATGAACATTTCATTTCATTTTCTGGGAAAAACCACAAGTATATAGGTATGTACGGAAAACCAAAAGCCCACTCACTGGTATGTAGAAGGGTCATAACCCCCTTACGAGTGACTGCGCTTGTCCACGGGATAGGTCTCACCTATATGCGAAACAACTATAAAACGTTAATTTAAAGCACATAACCAAAACTAGGTAATAACTTCTCATACAAAGCTCAAATGGGATGCATGAATACACCAACGTAATTTACTCAACCTCACGAACAACCCCATATTTTTAAAATAATTTTCTGACCTCCCATGCGCCGCCACACGCCGGCAAAGGCACGGCCAGACGCGCTGGCCACGTGCCAGGCACACTAACGGCGTTAGTTAACACCATCAGGAATATTTCGTTAAAACTAACAAATTCCATTAAAGTTAACCTAACACCGTTAAGAATATTCCGTCAAAACTAATGGAATATTCCATCTTCATCTCCGGCACACCTCCGGTGCCGTCGCCGTCGCCATCGCCGGAAATTCGTGAAATTTTCAAACCTTTGTTTCTCACTCGTTTTCAACCAAATTCTATAAAATTGGTACCAAAATGAAGCTTACAACAAGTAGAACAAAATCTTACCACTTTCAAGCCCTGAAATTCACGGAATCACGCCGGAGAAACTTCACAAAATCGGGCCAAACTTGCAACTCACGATCCCGACGTCCAAAACCTTCCAACGAACCGCCCCGAGCTTCCTAAGGACCTCACTAAGCTTCCTACAAGCTTCAAATTCCCTGAAAAACAACATTTCACGTATGCATGAACAGTGACCAAAATCGGGGTTCCATGGTTCGACATGAAATCGAAGGATTTCCTACCTGAAATGGGTATGGTTGAACTCGTATGAACCTCACGAACACAAAGGTATAGTTTTCCACCTCGATCTACAATGTTTTCACAGGTTTTTGGTCTTGTCCGTACGAAGAAGAAGAAGAGAAAGAGAGAGAGAGAGAGAGACATAGGACAGGGAAGGAGATGAGGATGAGAGTGTGGGTGTGTGTGTGTGGTCCAGATGCAGCCAAGCAAAACCCCAAAACAACCACACAACGAAACATAACCACTAGGGGCAAAACCATCATTTCACACCTACGATACAAATAATCCTGGACGGGTTGTCACAGAAAGAGGTGTGCAATTAATTTAATGAAAAAATACAAAATACAAAAAGACATTGGCGGACAATTTTTTTAAAATCTTTTAAAATTCGTAATTAAAAACAATATTTATTTGAAATAAATTAATTAGTTCTAATTTTATTAATCTAAAAAATTAAAATAAAATCACAATATTAAAGAAATTTATTTAATTATATTATAAATAAAATATTTGTACAATTGTACGTAAAAATTAGTAAACTAACTGCGACTACTGGGGTGGTTGGTGGGATGGCGGCTAAAGGTCGTTTGAACGATATCGAAGGCGAATGTCATAGGCTGTCATTGGTTGGGCTACCCCAGCAATGTACGACATAAGACCCTCCTCTCATTAGCACAAGGCTGCTTTTAGAGCATCTTCTTGCTAGCACGCTTCTTCTTCTCATTGGTGCAAGACCACTATGGAGCCAGAAATATTTCCAAAAATCATGGAGCTGATACGTGGATTATTTTTCAAGAAAGACAAAAACTGCCCCTATTAAATGAGTAAGGAGCAACCTCATTCACCACACACAGCTGAGGTAGAGCAAGTAGAGATCAACGATTGCTCAAGGCACCCCTACCCGTAGGAAAAGTCAAAGGTATTTATGATAGAATAATCCCTTATTCTTATCATAAATACATTCCTAATCAAAGAATACCTTTTTCAAGTAAGTAATCCTAATCAAATTTATTTAGGATATTTACCTAATTATTCTAAGATATTTATTTACACAAATATCTTAGAATATTCCACCCAAAAATACCACCTAGTAAATACTCCTCATTTCCTGTAAATACTCCATGTATCTCCAAAATTTAGTAAGCTTTAGCTACCCCTAAGAGGCTTTTTACTTCCCACAAACACCCAAACACATTCTTTATAGAATTCTAACTTTGGCATCGGAGATTCTTCTGTCAAAGCCCCCATTTCCCATTCATCGTGGGCGTGTGAAGCTTTTAGCCTTAATCTTAGTTGTTATTATTTTGCAAGTGCAAATTCGTCAATCAAATGAAGGCTGAAATTTGCATCCATAATTGTAGTCTAGAAAGTCCCGCTTGTAGTCTAATAGCTAGAAGATCTCTCAAGGTCCCGAACTAGACCCATTCCTAGATCGCATATTCTTTTTATGTTCCATCGCCTAACTCCAACCATCAGTAACTGTAGAGACACTTTGGATCATGTGTCAGCTCCTTAGTTGGCATGTCTAGTTTGTTGCTGAGAGATATTGGTGAGGTACTTGTCCTTCTTCCGTGATATAGAAGCCTACAAAAAAAGAGAAACCAATTAAGATTACCGATGATCATTTTAAAATTTGAAAGTGTAATGAAATTTGAAATTAAAATTTTGAACAGAATACTTACAAAAATGTCGTTAGCACATGGTTGCAAATATTGGCATGTGTATCCTCCCAAGCCTCAACTTCCTGAAACAGCAAACCTTTCTCATGTCGTTCCTCAACTTAAGAAGATAAGGGTCGAGAATCAGAGTGATCAAAGTACAGCTTCGCTTCACGATTAACCTTATTTGCTGGCGATTTCTGTTGTAAATTAAATAAAAAATCATTAACTTAAATATAAAATAAAAATAATAATAAATTGGAATTAAAATTTAAAAAAAAAAATTACCATAAATGTCGGGCTCTGAAAATGACCGCACAGGCAGTCACCCACTGCCATTGGTCAAATATCTCTGTAAACTACACGTGTAGATCAGTAAGAGCTTCAGCAGGAGATGCAGGGGTGAGCTTCTTACATGAAGGGGCAAGTATGAGGCACTTGGTGCGGATGATGGCACCCTTTTCTTGAATTAACAAGTTGTTGACCTTTAGGCTCGCCCGCTAATAGAGTGGGTTGGTTCAATTAGAGGCCAAGCCTCTGCAAATCCCTCTCACTTTGACCTTCTTCTAGGTTGGGAGTTCTCTGTTTCCATCCAAATGCACGGCCGCCGAATTGGCATCGACCTTTGCACCCTCAACAAGGGTAGCATAGCATTGTGTCGTCTCCGACTGTGAACACGCTTGGTAGATCGAAGCACCCATCTTGATACAATAGATGTACTGGGGCCGGGCCTCAACTCAGCAATGGTTGCCTATGTGTCGCTGGGTATCTCTGCCACCGAGTCACTCTAACAAGAACCGGAGGCAGAATGGCAGCTACTAGTTATCAATTGTGATGCCATCTGTGAAAGAAAACACAATAATTTCTACCATTTCATATATTTTTACAAATTTTCCTATTTTCCTTCAAATTTCTAAAACTTCCTACAAATTCCTACAATTTTCACATATTTCTACAACTTTTACAAATTTCCCTATTTGCCTATAAATTCTAAAATTTCACATATTTCCTACAATTTTCACATATTTCCTACACCTAAGGCATTGACTTTGTCACCTTCAGAGGCCCAACAAGCAGAACCAACCTTCCCATTGTGGACTCTATACATTGATGGTGCATCCAACCAACAAGGTTGTGGATTGGGACTTGTCCTCACTATGCTTGGAAAAGTTCTAATAGAGTATGCTCTTCATTTCAAGTTCAAGGCATCAAATAATGAGGCAGAGTATGAAGCCCTTTTGGCAGGCTTACATTTGGCAAAACACCTTGAAGATAAGCAACTTGATATATTCAGCGACTCTCATTTAGTGGTCAACCTGATCATGAGCAACTTTGATGTTAAGGGTAGCTCCATGGCAGCATACGTTGCGCAAGCACAACTTGTGCTCAAGCACTTTCACTACCAGATTCAAGTATCCTATTGGGAGATTTGATCTATCCAATGCATGTTGGGAAGAGCAAGGTCTGCTATGCGATCATTACAGCTAACTACTTCACAAAGTAGGCTGAAGTAGAACCATTGGCAACCATTATTGAGGCAAAGATAAAAGACTTCGTATGGAAAAACATTCTTTGCAAATTCGACATTCCTAATGCCATTGTCACCGACAACAGGTGATAGTTTGACAACAAGAAGCTCAAGGCTTTCCGCTTTAAGTTTAAAATCAACTTATGCTTTGCTTCTCTAGCCCATGCTCAAGCTAATGAACAAGTTGAAGCCATCAACAAGATAATCAAGCACACCTTAAGACAAGCTTGTACAAGGCTAAAGGTTGTTAGCCAAAACTTCTACAACCAATCCTTTGGTTATACTGAACTTCATATTGAACTCCAACAAGGGAAACTCCCTTCTCACTCGCCTTCGGTGCAGAGGCAGTTGTCTCAATTGAGCTTGAGCAAGTCATGTATCGAGTCGAGAACTACATGCAGAATGAAAATGATAAACGACTCGCCCTTAACTTAGATTTGGTCGAAGAACAAAGAGACCAGGTGCACTTCAGCAATGTCGCCTACAAGCAACGCGTCTCCAACTACTATAACTCTAAGGTCACACCCCTTGTTTTAAGCCACAGGATTGAACAAATCAACGGTGAATCAAAAGAAAGAAACAAGCAACGCAGTGCAAGAGGAAAAAAATGGAGAAGGAAAATCATTTCCCTCGACTCTTTATACACACGTAATGACATAAAATAAATAAACAAGACGTTGGCATGATAAAAAGAATTTGCCGTACAACATTTTCATTTTAGAATACAATTCATACAATCTGCTTGGTGGAGATCGTAAGTGACGTCCAATCCCCGCTTAATGACAATGTTGAATATTAGTCGTGGCCCAACAAATACTACCACAGATTCAAAGGGGAAAAAAATTTAAAGGAGAGGTTAGCAAAGAAATATGATGCTTCTACAAACCACCACAGATTCAAGTATCCTATTGCAACCTTTGACAGGCAGTGGACATGTAAGACCTTTTCAAGCTGGTAGCTCGAGCTTTACATTGTTCTTCCAGCTGCAGAACAATAAAAGGAAGTCAGTGTTTTGTACAACTATCAACGTACTCTAGTGATATGAAAAAATGGCAAAGCACCTACCTCTGGAAGTAATAGTAGAAGAAATCAGCATAGAGCAAAGTCTGGATAATCCCTGCGATCCAAGCTGCAGGAGGAGAAAAACATCATGAGTATATGTGCACATTCAACACTGACACAAGAAGATAAAAACCAGATGTATTTAGTTGGCGTAAAAATGTATGACAGATAACACAATAACACATACTGAGGCACCTAATGCACAAATGCAGAGCAACCACATGTAGACATGTCTAGAGAGAGAGAGAGAGAGAGTCATACTTATCCAGTGGACATAGTGTTCCTCAGTAAAGTAGCGGTAAATCCAGTTCAATATGTATAATGCTCGATAAGCGCTGCAATAAGACATTCAAATTATAGCTCACATATAGCACAAATATGATGCTGGAAAACATGATACGCATAAGAACACAACAAAGCGATGCGAAAAAAGACAAACTTATAATGTATCAAATCATATGGAACAACAATTTATTTCTGAAGGACCAAACGCAAGTTAAAAGTAGTTTATTACCCAAGGAGGAAAACATATTGTCCTGTTAAGTTGTCAATATTTCTTGTCCTTTGCAACAGCACCAGCTGAGGAAGTATGGCAACTGCTTCCAAATATATGGAAAACGTCCACAGCACCTGCTCAATCAATTTAGTAAAATCACACAAGATTGTGAGCAATGTGAAAAATCATGCTCCCTGCTCTGTCATAATCTAATTGATACTATTAATTGGTCAGATAGTTCTACTAAGACATGAACAACATCGAAGCCACAAAACATAGAAGATATAAGGATATCAGCACATTATCCAGTAATAATAAAATGGAACTGAATAGATACCTCTTTAAAAGTGAATTTCTCATTTATAACCAGGGCCAAAATGAGGCAAGGGAGCAGGAGAAAAAGATGGCGAAATGTATCTTGGTCCTTATCATATGATCTCCGAACAATCCTGTGGCACCGTATGTACCAAACAATTGAGAAAGAGCTACCCAAAAATATCAACTTCATCACGGTATTATAAAATGAGATGAAGTTAATAAAAATATCCAAATAGCGGGTTGCAAAGACAAGAGCATAGAGTTCTTGAGTCTTCAAGGAAACACCTGCGCGAAAAAAGGGAAGTAGAACTTTCTTAGTCGTAAAGAGACAATATAAGTTTCAAACAGGCATTACATAACAGATTAGTAGGAAAATGGATAGGATATAATACTAAATTATTATCACTCGACAATCACTTTAGCAAAATGATGTACTAGATACAGTCAAATGTTTCAACCTCTTCTAAAAGAATCAGTTTTCAATTCGATGGACTTCTAGGATCAGATGATAATTTGCATACACTACTTTAACTCATGCCCCCCCCCCCCCCCCCCACTATACATCCAAGCGCCCATCACATAGGTACAACTTTGTCCTTTGTCCTTCGTCCTTCGTCCTTAATGAATCAGCCAAGCACCCCTCATACACATACCTCTACGCCACCATCCCAATCAGCTTGTTCAAACTCCTTATGAATAAACTTATATTTAATAAAATCTTTCATTTACAAACTCATACATAACATTAACTGTGACGAAGCTCCTTATAATCTTACAACTTGTGTTTCCTTCCAAACTAAATAATATGGTCCATAGGACCACAAACATCAACCACATGACCTCATCCTTGATATGCCTAGTCAGTTTGCACTGCAGAGTTTCTAACTCTCTTTTTTCTGCATGCAAAAGTTCACTTCCAAGCACCAAGGGGAACCTACCCATGTGTGCAAAACGTATACAAGAAAAGCAAAGAAAATAAAAGTAACAACATAAAGATACTTGAGATAGAAGGGATTGAGAATCTATATACCATCTCTTGCTGCATTGTTTGTTAGCTCTGGGACACATTTTTCCCTATCTCAGGTCTATTGGTGCTTCCAAGACCAACTGTGCTTTACTTTGAGGATGATATAGCAGATTTTTTAAAAGAATAAGCCAACGGGTTTAGAGGATCAGTACCAGCTTGTTTAAACAAAGGGAAGCAGAAGTATTTTTGAAGGGGTAGGACATTATATGATTGAGATGAAAGGTTCGTCTTTGATGTGTCTATTTGAAATCTCCCCTTTAATTTCTGTGTACAACCTATTTAATTGGGTACACTCCAATGCTTCTTTCAGCAAACCTTCATTCTTTCACATGCCCAAAAGAAAAAAGTTCGAATCCGTTTATTACCTTGGGATGAGTGTCTTCATGGAATTTTTATTTAACTAATAGTTATGACTCTTTAAAGCCACCTGTTTATCCAGACTGGTATCATAGTACCAAGAACACATAGAAGACCGTCGACCGGTGCATTACTACCCCTTTCCCTCCTCAGAAACATACAGCAACCAATTAAACCAGCATCAACAGATGTAAAGGGAAATTGACAAAAACGTCTGCCTCATCTATACGTCTCACCATCATCTCCATTAAATTCAGAGGTGGTAGTTAACTACTTGGAAAACACCACAACCCAGCTATCTTTTACCTAAAAGTACATAAGCAACAAGTAATATAATCTCACTCTCACATAAGAAAACTGAAAGTATAACAGTATATGAAATCGTCATAACTCAATCATTCCTACACTCGTATCTTCAACCTAACCCTCGGAAACCTCCAAGTCCAAATCTATATTCAATTCCACACAAAGTAGATCAAATTTTTGCAAAACACTGAACCCTAAATCTGATAATGTTTAGCTTCAACGAAGTAAACTCATCGTCCACCAACACAGGGAGCTGAGCCATATAACCCAAAACAGCGAAAATAAACAGAGAAAGCTTCGAAATTTTCATTCGTTTCCGCCATTTTCTCAGCAACCAAACGAAACCCAGAAAACAAAAGTCAGAAAAGAAGGACCAAATGGGAGCAAAATGAAGAGAAACTGAAAGGAGAAAGAGAAAGCTAACCAGCACAGGATTTGATGGTGTGGATCTTGAGGAGCAAAACCAGAACGCTGGCCAAATGGGTCATATCCCCTGCTAATCTGAATATATTCATCTTCTCTGTTACAAAAGATTTCTTCTTCTTCGGCTATGTTATTGATTTTGTAATTTTGCTGGATTTTAGGACAGCAAGAAGATAAATAGATGACGAATAAGTAACTCTTAAAAAATTGGGTTGTGAAAGACAAAAAAATTAAAAATGGATTTGTCCAAAAGCTCAAAGAAAAAAACGCAGAATCGAATTTTCATTGGATGGTCGTTTTAATTTTGCCCAACATGTATTATGTTATTGGTCGGATTGTCGTCAATAAAAAAAGACTGGCTAATTTGCCCGTAAATAAATAAAATAAAATATTTCTGGTTAATTTGCTGTCAACAGAAAAGTGTCCACCTGTTTTCTCCCACCAAGGACCCCAGATTGTAGTCATGGTAGACGATACACTGAGTAATACAGCTATACACGTATTATACGCGTATATATGCGCATCATGCAAATATTGTTTTCTGTTGAAAAGTTTGATGGCAATGAATGCCTACAGTTCATTAGCAGAATTCTTCAGCATGGGCAGAAGTTTTCAATGCCCATGCAAAGTGAAAGTTGAATACATAGAGATTGTATAGTCAGACGAAGTGTCGTAAATTTCAAAATGCATTAACTGCATCAATTTGGAGTTGCTTTATAAATAGAGCACTCCGCATGTTTTCATGTAACAGAAAATATAAGAAGAAGAGAACGAGAGAAAAATATCAATAACATCATCTATTCCTCTGCCTTTTATTTGTTATCCTCTTGTGCTATATTTTTAGTGTGGCATTTAACATCTACCTTGCACCTACCGTTAAAAAGGTTATCTCTCTAACTTTGACCTATTTATAACACGTTATTAGCACGAGTCTTTAAATATAATTATTCTCTTATTTCTCTTCGCCAAACAAACGAAAGAAAGAAAAATGTTTCCTTTAAGGTTTTTACTGTTCATCTTCTTCCTCTGCCTCAACTGCGCGGTATACCCTCGCGACGAACTGTTTGCTCCATGCCTGCTCTTAGTTCTCAATCTAACGGTTACATACATCTTTGATTACTTGTTTGATGTAGAGATTGATTACTAACCCAGTATTTATTTATGTTAATTTTACTGCAATCCAAGATGGTGCGGTACAATCGCCCATCTTGAACTGCAAATTTATTCTTATTGCGATCCAAGATGGTGCGGTATCATCGCCTATCTTGGACTGCAAATTTTAGGTAGAGCGGTATAATCGTCCACCCTACCCTGCATATTTAAATTTACCTGCTGTTTAATTTCATTGCAATTTTAGGTGGTGCGGTATAATCGCCCACACTGCTCTGCATATTTAATTTTTCTGTTACTTGAGTGGTGCGGAATAATCGCTCATTCTATATTACATTATTTCAATGAGAATGGTGCGGTACAATCGCCCTCCTCATTCACCCTAAAAATCTCGAGCCAAAAGTTTCAAGTGCTTATCATTTTGGCCTGAAGATCAAAATGAAAAATTTGTAAGAACCAGAAGTTCTAACATTATATTCCTCCAGGAATACATATTATTTCAAGTTCTTACACATCTCATTTTCTTTCAGAAAAGAAAATGGCGAACTTGGCGAAGCTTGAATTTGCTGCCCTGGATATTACCGGGAAGAATTACCTGACCTGGGTAATAGATACCAAGATCCATCTGGAAGTAGGGAATCTTGGAGATACCATCAGGGAAGGGAGCAGCTCATCCTCTCAAGATCGGGTAAAGGCCATGATTTTCATTCGCCGCCATCTTGATGAGGCACTAAAGAGCGAGTACTTAACGGTTGAAGATCCGTTAGCTCTCTGGAATGCCTTGAGAAACAGATGCAATCACCAGACAACGGTGATTCTTCCAAGGGCCCGCTATGAGTGGACTCATCTGAGGATCCAAGACTTTAAGTCAGTGGCAGAATACAATTCTGCATTGTTCAGAATTACCTCTCAGATGAAGCTCTGTGGGGATATTATTACTGAGGAGCATATGCTGGAAAAGACTCTCAGCACATTTCACGCCTCCAACGTGCTTCTGTAGCAGCAGTATAGAGCGCAAAGCTACACTGAATACAACCAACTGATATCTGTTCTCTTAGTAGCTGAACAGAATAATGAGCTCCTGATGAAAAACCATCATTCCCGACTTACTGGATCTGCACCATTCGCATAAGTGAATGATGCTTCCCTCGAAGTGAACGCCACATCCTCTGGTGGTGATAATCATAAACGAGAACGTGGCCACAAGCGAGGTCGATGGAATAGGAAAGGCAAGAACCATGGAGTTCAGTTTCACAACCAAGTTCCAAGGCATAATTCAGGCCCGAGCTTCAAAAATGTGAATCGCCACAAAGGCAAAGCTCATATGAACAATGCTCCTAGAAACTCTGAAGGAGCCTGCCATAGGTGTGGTGGCAATGGGCATTGGGCGCGTACTTGTCGTACCTCAAAACATCTAGTGAATCTGTATCAAGCCTCCCTCAAGGAGAAGGGTGTCGAGACCAATTTTCTCGACCACGCTAGACCAATGGATATACCTGATCCAGTGTTTGACTTATCAGGGCAGTTGAACACAACTCATCTAGATGTTCCAGATTTTATTGTGGAAAGGGGAAATGAAGTATACGGGTCCGATTAAAACATTGATGTACTTTTATTATGCTGAACTTGTAGTATTTTTAGATTCAATAATAGTGGCGTGTAAATTTCTTGTTATAACTTGCTTTTAACTCTGATTCTCTTACTCAGAGAGCATGGATAAAAACTGTGGTTATTCTCAGAACATGAGAAATGGCGGAGATATTTGTCTTGCAGACAGTGCAACCACACATACAATACTTCGTGATCGAAAGTATTTCTCAAGCTTAATACCTACAAGAGTAGGGGTAACAACAATATCAGGACTTTCAGATGTAATTCAAGGTTCAGGGCAAGCCCAGATTATGTTACCAAATGGAACAATATTGTCCATACAGAATGCATTGTATGCTACTCGATCTACTCGAAATTTGTTGAGTTTCAAAGACGTACGTTTTAATGGATACCACATTGAAACAAAAAGTGCAGAAAATGTGGAGTATCTATGCATTACCTCCAATGATACCCAGAAGCGTATATTGGAGAAGTTGCGTGGTATGTCGAGTGGATTGTATTATACATACATAAGGACAATTGAATCACATACTGTCATGAACCAGAAGTTCATTGATTCAAAAGTTTACATGCTTTGGCATGACCTTCTGGGTCATCCAGGATCTACCATGATGCGTAGGATCATTACCAACTCTAATGGACATCCATTAATGAGCAGACACATTGCTGCCTCAAATGATAACCCTTGCAAAGCTTGTTCTCAAGGGAAGTTGGTAATTAGACCATCACAACTAAAGGTTGATGCAGAATCCCCATCATTTCTGCAAAGAATTCAAGGGGATATTTGTGGGCCTATTCAACCATCATGTGGACCATTTCGATATTTTATGGTTTTGATTGATGCATCTACCCGATGGTCACATGTTTGTCTCTTTTCTACTCGGAATGTAGCCTTTGCGAGACTTCTTGCTCAAATAATTAAGTTACGAGCACAGTTCCCAGATTATCCCATTAAGTCAATCCGACTTGATAATGCTGGTGAATTTACGTCTCAAACCTTTGATGATTATTGCATGACATTGGGCATTGATGTTGAACACCCTGTTCCTCATGTCCATACTCAAAATGGTTTAGCAGAAGCATTGATCAAGCGACTTCAGTTAATAGCTCGCACTCTGCTTATGAAAACCAAATTGCCAGTCTTTGCATGGGGACATGCCATCTTATATGCTGCATCATTGGTTCGATTGAGACATATAACCAACCATCAATACTCTTCAGTACAACTTGTGTTTGGACATCAGCCAAACATTTCCCATTTACGAGTTTTTGGTTGTGCTGTTTATGTGCCTATTGCACCGCTGCAGCGCACTAAAATGGGACCTCAGCGTAGACTAGGAATTTACGTGGATTTTGATTCACCATCTATCATTAGATATTTGGAACCCTTGACAGTTGATATGTATACAGCTCGTTGTGCTGATTGTCACTTTGATGAGACAATTTTCCCGTCGTTAGGGGGAGAAAAGACCGTTCCAGAAGAACGGAAAGAGCTGACATGGGTTGTTCCCACCTTGTCTCATTTTGATCCTCGCAGCATTCAATGTGAAAATGAAGTGAGAAGGATCGTTCATCTTCAAAGCATTGCCAATCAAATGCCGGATGCATTAAATGATGCTATGAAAGTGACAAAATCACATATACCAGCTGCAAATGCACCTGCAAGAATTGATGTCCCTGTTGGACAAAATAAAGTGGCAGCGAATGATTCATCTGGTGCACGCCTGAAGCGTGGTAGACCCCAAGGTTCAAAAGATTCAGCCCCTCGAAAGAGAAAGTCGAGGGCATAACTGAATCCAAATGAAATCATTCAAGAAGAGAAAATGAATGATACATCCACAATTCATGATTTTGGACTTCCAGAAAAAAGAAAATGTCCTTGATGAGACATATGTCCCTGAAGAGACAGAAGTCCATGAAAGCAAACAAATCTCTATAAATTATGCATGTACAAATGAATTGTGGGATCGGAATGAAATAATCATCGATGATATGTTTGCATTCACAGTAGCCACTGAAATCATCTTACGTGATGATATTGAGCCCCGTTCTGTTGATGAATGCAAACAGAGACAGGATTGGCCTAAGTGGAAAGATGCAATCCAGGCAGAATTAAATTCCTTGGAAAGGCGGAATGTTTTTGGACCAGTAGTCCAAACCCCACCTAGTGTAAACCCCGTGGGTTACAAATGGGTATTCACAAGGAAACGCAATGAGAAAAACGAGATCGCAAGATACAAAGCACGACTCGTTGCACAAGGT